GTCGGTGCACGCATAAATTACTATTGTTATACACTGTTTTACTGCAATTCCAAAAAGTAAATAGAATTTTGAAAAGGGTGAAGATAAATTTTTACAGAGGGGTTGAGTGTTGTCTCCCTATACAGCGGCAACGGGCAAAGGAATGGTTTAAAACTAGCTAAACCTAGGTAGCCACGCAGCCATCCTTCAAAACAGCAAAGGGAACAGAAAGTGAAATTCTCATTCTGCACGGAATCGTTTATTATCCAGAAGAAATCGGAACAACTTTTGATATTTTTTAAAATATTTATTTCATATGATTTTTCTGAGATTGAGTTTGGATTCCTGTATTTTTTTTAGTTATTATATTTTTATTTGAGGAAAGTTATACTTATAATTTTTTTTTACAATCTCTTACAATTATATTTTAATTCCGTTGATTTCTGTTAAATAACAGTTATCATTTATTATGAATTAATAATTAATTAATGAGTTTAATTTGCTAAAATAATAACCGTTAGTTGATGAAAATCCACAGTGTTAAGATATGATTGTAAAAGGTTGAAAAAAAAATTGTAAATATAACCTTTCTCTATTTGTTTATTTAATATTTGGCCGCTATCCGTTATATATATTAAATATATTTTTTAGTTATTGTATAAATTTCTGTAAGTTTTTTTTTCATAAAGTTTTGGTTCCTTTAATTTGATATTAATTTATAATGGATAAAAATCTTAATTGTACAAAATTATAAATGATTCTTGCGGAAAACATTATAAGAATCAAAATCAAAATCAGGAATAATTATAGAAACCAAAAACTAACCTTAATATTTCTTTTAAACAGCCAAAGTTGCTTTATCCTAACTTAAACAATTATCTTGTTAATGGGTATTCAAAACAGCCAAAGTGGCTTTATATATATGCTGCCTAACTTAAACAATGATTTTGTTGTTGGGTTTTCAAAAGTATTGACTTTAACATTTCGAAAGTTATAGTTATTATCTCTTTTTCTTACTATCTCTTACTACTAAATCTTAATTGTTGATTTTCGTCAATTTAATGGTTGTAATTTATTGGGTCATACTTATTAATTAATTATTAATTTTCAATAAATTATAACCTTTAGATTAACGGAAATCAACGGTTAAGATTTGGTAGTAAGATGTAGTGAGAAAAAGAGATAGTAAGTATAACATCTTCCTTTAACATTTTATATTGAATATTTTTATTGTTGTAAAGTAAAATAATATTATTTCAAATTCGTAGTATATTTAATATTTTATTTTATCTATTAGTTTGCAATGAAAAATAGATATAATTATCCTTCCCCTTTTTGTTAGGGCAAATGATTTCTGCTTAAAAAAAAAAAATTCTTTGATACCTAGACATAAAATTTATGCTTTCTCTTTCTTTCTTTTTTCTCTCATTTCTTTTGCTTTCTCTCTTTTATCATTTTGTTTCAGCGGCTAAGAGAATTTATTCTGTATTTTAAGTAGAAATCATTTGCCCTTTTTGTTATTAGATGATGGAAAAGAAAATATGGTTTTCATTCATTTATTTGGTTTGGTTTCATCAATATAAAGAGTGCTAAAAAGAATGAAAAATGTATGTAAATACACGATGGAACTCACAAAAAACACTTCTTGTCCCTTCTTTTCCATTGCTTTCAACTAGATTGAGGAAAGGATGGAAAACTGTGGGGTTCATATAAATTTTTGAATGAAAGAAAAGAAACTAAAATCTCTCAAAACAAGGTATTTTGAGAGGCTTTCAATTTTCTTTCCTTTCTAATATCTCACGTGGAAGAGGCTTTTAGTGCCTATCTGATATCATAAAGAGAAAAGAAAAAGAGAAGGAAAAACAAGTTGAGGACTTGTTCCTCCCGTGCTACCCTTGTTTGGTTAGGTTTCATGAAATATATATATATATATATATATATATATATATATATATATATATATGAGAAAAGTATTTTTACAACCACTTTAGATAAGGTTATCTACAGCTATTCCTTTTTAACTAAGTACGACCGGTCGTACTTAGTTATAGCAATAAAGCTGCTCTTTTTTCCTCTCTCCTCAGACACTGTCGGCTGACGTGACGAAGAGAGAAAATGCACTTTTAATGTACGACCAGTTGTACTTAGTGAAAAAATGGTAGCTGAAAACAACCTTATCTAAAGTGGCTGCAGAAATATTTTTTCATATATATATATATATGTATATATATATTTGGGGTTTGCATTTGTCATTTAATATGACACAACAAAGTTTCATACAAACACAACATTTTGTGGGGCCACACTTTTTGAAGAAAAAAGAAAAAGAAAAACTAAAACGAATCTCTATAACATTACACAATCACTTTTCTTACAACATAACTCTTATAAAACCATATATATATATATATATATAAGTGAAAAAGAAGTGTCATGTTATATAAGATTAAAAATCCCACGTCATAGATATAGTAAGTGTGGAATTTATTTATTTAAAAAACTAAAATAAAAAAAGAGTGACACATCTTTTTATGATATATGTAGGAAGGATATGTTTTCTCTTATATAAAAAAAATCCCTATTTATAATGATTGATAATACATTTAAAATATTTGCTGAGATCGATAAGGAAAATTCTTTTATTTTCATTTTCTTTCCCATCATCCAAAGAAGGGGAAAAAAAAAATTAAACTCAACCCGTTACTTTTATCTAAAATATATGGTAAGAACAATATTTTTTTTTTTTTTTGGGTGAGGGGGTGGGTGGGTTAAACTTAAGAACAATTTTAAGTTATCGATATTACTATTTATTCTAATAATTCCCTTAATTATTAAATGCAAAATAATAAATGCATATTATTATTTTCTATTATGTTTAGTGAATGTAGATAAGTTATTTATATTTACTTTAAAAACGATGTCGTTTCGGATTGAAATTTTTTTGAAATAAATTATAATTATAAGAATAATTTGATTTTCATCTCAATATAATATTATTTTAGGTTCAATTTAAATAAATTATTTACATTGATGTATTATTATTTTTTGATATTTTTTATCAAATAATAGGAAAATATTTCAAGAGAATATATCAAAATTCAGAAGATAAACAAAGCATCAGAAATAATAAACTAATAATTACAGATTAGGTTAAAGGAATAAATATACTATATTCCCGGATGAGTTGACGATTGACATTTGACAAACGCAGTTTCACTAGTTTCAATGTCATTTTTCGGGAATTGATTCTTTTATATTAAAATTTTACATAATCTGATTATATAAAATTTTGGTGTTATTTCTGTCTTTATTAATAATAATTGAATTTTAATTATTTAATGAATGTGAAAAGAAAAATATACATATGATTAAATTATGTGAAATTTTTACATGTGATAATCCACTCTCTGATTCCCCTGTGCATTGCCCGAGCATGAGTATGACCTCTCTAAAAACGTCATCACCTTTAGATGCCAAACGGCGTTCAGACCGTGCGTGTCGAAATTATTGACTCTTTGATGACACTACCAGTTGAATCTCTTTTTCTCTGTTATGTGCTTTTGGGAAGGTACCAACCCGTGACCTCTCCGCCTCAGTTTGCTAGTTTTAAGAAATCTACTCCTAGTGGTTGAATTTGGTGGCTTTGCACTTGTCAAGAACACTCTAATCAGTTTTTTATTCCACATTTCTAGTTTTATTAATATATGAATATATGGTTATTAAAATAATAATGAGAACTTTTGAAATTTGGGAAATAAAAGAAAAAGAAAAAAAGAGGACCCTCCTTATTTGGCTTTGGGTAAATTTCATTTGGATAATGGTTGTGCAAAGGGCAAGGGTGTGTGTAGGGGTCTGTTTGGGAGGGGGGCCTTCGTGCGTAGGTCTCCAAACTACTGACAGACCAAGTAAGGACGGGTCATGTGGGGGTCTGATCAGTGAGTGTTTTATATATTTGATTCTGACTCTTTTTATGGCATTTAATGTTTTTACCTTTCTATACTCCAATCTACGGTATTTAATACACCGGCAAACACAGTGAGACATGCATGGAATAGTTCTAGTCTAGTCCAAAGCTGGGTCACTGACATCTAGGTTTTACTGGTTTACCTTTTTTTACTGTTTATGAAAGTTACTATACTGTAATCCGAGGTTAATGTCAGGGTAAATTTTGGGGTTGTACATGCCCTTAGAGCAAAGTCCACGAGTTTGCAGTGTAATACAAGACATGTATAGTCACAGTCAGTAGTAAAAATTGGAATTGGCACAGACTGGGACTGTCCCTCCCCCAGTGGTCCCACATTGTTGCTCACACATGAATGTAGGAAATTCATCATGGTCGCCACCAAGATGTGACGAATCGAACGGCCAACAATGGATCAGCAGTGGGACTTATAGTACATTCGAGTATACAGTGTATTTTCAGTTAGGCTGTGACCCATGAATTTTACTGTGGAATTGATAAATCCACTCGGTGCGCTGGGGGAATCAAATCAAAATCACACATTCAGAATTATAATTAGGCACGTGTCTTCATGAAGGTTTCACAACACAACACAACTCACTAGGTGGTGTGCATGGGGGCTGCATAGAGCAGGCGTTATATTATATGTTCGGTTATCAAGTTGCAGCATCGATCAGAGGTCTCTGATGAATGATGAATGATGATGATGATGATGATGATGATGAGTGTTTGGTGACAGAATAGAAAAATGAGATGATAAAATAACAGTGTGGGCGTTGACCGGTTAATTGAAAAAATCCAACCAACACGTAGCGGTTATCGCGGTAAAACATGACTAATTCTGGTAAATATTTGATTAAGCTATGGTTTAAGTTGTTAGATATTTATTGTCACTCCAAAAGCACGACGATATATGTATATAAATATGCAGAGTAAGAAAGCCTTCCCTTTTTGTACAAATTATGCAAATACAGACAGGCAGGTAGTGAGAGAGAGAGAGAGAGAGAGAGAAGGGGGGAAAGGACAGATCTCTCTCAAGGCGTTTAATTCCACAGATCTTTTTGCGTTTCTCAATACAAGCGAAAGAGGAGAGAGAGAGAAGAACAAAAGAGCTGAGGCTGGATAGTTGAATATCTTTTCTTTTTTTATCTGAATCGCTTTTAAGTTCGTCTGTTTGCTTTATTTTCGTCTGATCCCATGTCCTCCTTGCAGAATTCGTTTGTCTTCTGTGCCACCTTCAGATCGATCAAAACAAACAAAACTTCTTTTTTCCTATCTTCTTCTTCTTCTTCTCCTTCTTCCTTTTAGCAAAACATAAATAAAAGCGATAGAAAGGGATAGAAAAAGCACAGAGAGAGAGAGAGAGAGAGAGAGAGAGACTAGTTGTCATCTCCTCGTGTATGAGAATGGGTACAGGTTGGAGAAGAGCCTTTTGTACTCGCGACCCAGAATCCACCTTATCGGATAAGCAACATAGAAGCCCGAGTCCAAGCCCCAGCCCCAGAAGCTGTGCTCGATTGGGTTTTCTTTCCGGTGGTAGCAGCAACCCATCCACTCCCCGATTGCACCACCAACAATCTCAACCTGTGTCTAGTCCAAGCTTGCGTTGCCGAACAATCGCGGAAGCAGCTCCTCAAACAGTTACAGTTACCGTTAATGACAGCCCCAGACTTCAAAGAAAAGGAACTCCGAGAGCAACCAAGTCCCCCAAAACGCTCTCAACCTCAAATCCAACTTCTCCACGCTCCCCTCTCAAGTTGTCCCTCTTCAAGAACAGCTTCAAATTCAGGGTATGATTTTTCATCCAAGTAAAATTCCAAAATCCCAATTTTATTTATTCTTTTTGAGATCCCAACCATGGTATTGCTATTGATTATTGACTAGACGATACTGATTTTGTTATGTTTTTTTTTCCGTTTAACAGAGTAGTTGTGGAATCTGCTTGAACAGCGTGAAGACGGGACAGGGCACGGCCATATACACTGCAGAATGTGCTCACGCTTTTCATTTCCCGTGTATTGCTGCACATGTACGCAAGCATGGTAGCCTTGTATGCCCCGTCTGCAACGCTACCTGGAAAGACGTGCCTCTACTCGCGGCACACAAGAACCTCGGCCCAGAATCCGCCTCGCAAAACGACGTCGCCGAGAGGAGCACCGAAAAGCCCAATGCCAGCGAGATAAACCGAACAGGAAACCCTTCCCCTGTTTTCATAACCAAGCATGCGGAGCAACCTCATCATCAACAGCAACACCAACACCAACCAAAGCCCTCGGATTCAGTCAGGTCCTACAATGACGATGAGCCTCTTCTTTCTCCCACCACCGGTGGCCGGATCATCCCCATTCCCGAAGCCGACGAGAGTGCAGAAGACGACGACGAAGACGCCGGCGAGTTCCAGGGTTTTTTCGTCAATCCAAAACCCACATCCTCAACCAAGTCCTACTCCGATGACTTGCAAACCAACGACGGAGATTCCAGAACTGTTCAGGTGAAATTGATGCCGGAGTGTGCTGTCGTGTCAGTCTGCCGAAGCCACGAGACGTACGCTTTGGTTTTAAAGGTGAAGGCTCCACCTCCACCGCGAAGCAACACCACGCCACTTCTGGACCCGTTGCAGCGTGCTCCAATAGATCTTGTTACGGTGCTGGATGTGGGTGGAAGCATGACCGGCGCGAAGCTTCACATGCTAAAGCGCGCTATGCGTTTAGTTATCTCATCTCTTGGCCCCTCTGACAGACTCTCCATCGTGGCTTTCTCTGCTACACCCAAACGGCTTTTTCCTTTGCGGAGAATGACGGCTCAAGGTCAGCGTGTGGCTCGGCGCATCGTTGACCGGCTCGTCACCAGTCAAGGCACAAGCGTCGGTGATGCATTGAGGAAAGCCACCAAAGTGCTCGAGGACCGCAGGGAGAGAAACCCCGTAGCCAGCGTCATGCTCTTATCCGACGGTCAAGATGAGAACGTTCAAACCAGTAAGAAAACCAATCAGCGGAAGTCATCGAGCCACGTGTCTTCTACCCGGTTCGCCCACATCGAAATTCCGGTTCATGCGTTTGGTTTCGGAACCAAAAGCGGTTACAGCAACGAACCGACTGAGGATGCGTTTGCCAAGTGCGTTGGTGGGCTTCTGAGCGTGGTGGTTCAGGACTTGAGGATTCAGCTTGGCTTTCAGTCTGATTCGGCGCCGGCTGAGATCAGCGCCATTTATTCGTGCAGTGGAAGGCCCACAGCGCTGAGCTCAGGGGCTGTGCGGCTTGGCGATTTGTACGCCGAAGAAGAGAGGGAGCTGTTGGTGGAGCTAAGGGTTCCCACGTCAGCTTTAAGGATAGGGACCCACCACGTGATTACGGTACGGTGCCTTTACAAGGACCCTGCTAGCCAGGAGATAGTATACGGTAGGGAACAGGGTCTTATAGTGCCGCCACCCCAGAGTGGTCGTTCTTCAGGTACCAGAATCGAGAGGCTCAGGAATCTGTTCATAACCACCCGAGCCATAGCTGAGTCAAGAAAGCTGATCGAACACAACAATGACTTTTCAAGCGCTCAGCATTTGCTTTCTTCGGCTCGTGCGCTTCTGATGCAGTCCAGTTCGGTTTCGGCTGAGGAATATGTTCGCGGCTTGGAGGCTGAGCTTGCAGAGCTTCATTGGCGGAGACAGCATGAACAGCTTCATCTTCAGCAACAGCAGCAGCAACAAATGATGATGATGATGCAACGGAGGAGAGGGAGTGAGAGAGAGTTGGCCCTCGTGGATGAAAATGGTGAGCCGCTCACGCCAACATCGGCTTGGAGAGCAGCTGAGAAGCTGGCTAAGATGGCCATGATGAAGAAGTCTTTGAATAGAGTCAGCGACTTGCACGGCTTCGAAAACGCTAGGTTTTAATTTATTTATTTTTCCTTTAATTGTTTCTTTTATTTAAATAAAAAAAAAAGAAAAAAAGTAAAAAAAAAATTGTAGAGGCGTATTAGAGAGAGAAGAGGACAATTAGGGATGGGGCTTGAGAGTAGAAGGGAATGGGGACAATCTAGTAGCAGACGGCGCGGCCCTTTCTGCATTGGAAGATAACTACAGTACAGAGAAAGGGTGGGGGATTATATAATGTGGGGTATGCCCCACCGTAATATGGGAGGAATTGATTGGTTGGTTGCTAGGTCATGTCTTTTTGTTTCATGCCTTTTATAATGTTTTGAATTTTAATCATTCGCTTTTCAGGATCAAAAACTCGTACTGCTTCAGTGTTGGGATGGGGTTTTATCATTTGAAGGGCAGAAAGTTGTAAATGCAATTATAAATCACTTTCTTTACCTCTCACTCTCTCCCCTCTTTTTATGCTTGGCTTTTTTCGAAATGGATACTGTCCTATTTAAGATTATGGTTGTCGTTCTAAAACGTAGTGGATTTGCGGGGCTAATAATTAAGGAGCGGACTCGGAACGGGACTAAAATGATCTTTTGGATGAAAAACATGGCTGAGGACAGAACTTAATGATGAACAAATGATTACATTTCATGGCAACATGATGCCTTTTTCTATCTTTTATTCGAGTACCGCACCTTAATTTAGAATTAAAATTTCAAAGTGGCCCGAATTATTAAAACGCAATCATAAGAGAAGTATTGTGCTTTGCAATGCATGGGATAAAAGAAACTCGGTCCATATTTGTGTCTTAGCTACACAGACATCCGGTGCGGATGATAGGCTTTTTGATGTCCTCTGCAAAATAAAAAAAAGTGGGTCATACTAGCGCAATTTAGGATAGGATAGACTCATTATTTCATTTAACAATAGTTTTTGAAAAAGATAATAATAAGTTGTTATCCAAAAAAAAATAAAAAATGACGCCCTCATTATTGTTAAAATTTTATGAAACATAAGAAATTCCCAATGCATTTTGTTTTAACTTGAATTGTACTGTTTACATAAAAGAAACAAAGAAATAATGATGATGCAATTTAGGTTACTATTTATGAATTATCATACGTGTCACTAATTGCCTTTCCAAATCATATTTATGAGTTCCCACATGGAACGCACTGAGAATTTATCACCCCTCCTAAAAACTTAATGATAATAACAACATTATAATTTGAGTAATAACAATAAATTTTTATTATTATTTAATAACTTGTTAGACAAAATAGGCTTTGGATTGGATGGTAATTTCTTTTCGACAAATCATTAGGCAAATTTTATAGACTTTTGTTATAAATACTCGAATATGATGTGAATTTTTATACTTGAGAATGTGTATGTATAGATGAAATTTTATAATGTTTGTGACTTTAAAATAAATTGACATAATAATATGATTCTGTTGTCATCTGCCACAAAAGAGTGATAGCTTCAAAGTGTCAATTTACATGCGGTTTAGATGGATACGCATAGAGCTTAAGACGAGGCTAGAGACTGTTCATAAATCCAATATCTCTGTCAGCATGCTTAGCATCCCCTGTTTGACAACAAATTTCCAGCTACTTCGTTGCCACGGAACTATGTACTGGCATTATAAGATAGTCTTTGATCATAAATGGAAAGAGAGCAATTTAACTTAGTTAGCATAAAAGGTTCGGAGTATATCTTAAGCAGAGATGTCAGAGGTGTTGAGATCAATAAGTGTCTCAGTTGTCCAATCCATCGTTATCTGCCCTACGTGTTCCTTTGCGCAGCGTTGTTATGGTTTATTCTTGGTAGGGTTACTAGGAGTCCCAGTTAAAGATGCTGCCGTTGAAACAACAACGCTGCATGCATTTTAACTTGGTGTGGTCCACGCCTAATAGAGTGAGCTTTCTTAGGATGTCAGTTACTGTTGTATTTGTGCTATGAACGAGCATGAGCTAGAGACGAGGATTTTAGACATTATAAACTAAACAAATTATACCCCTTTTAAGTCATTAAAAAAAATAAAATGTTATATGAATGATTTTCAATAAAAAATAAATTGTGTATAGAGTAATTAAGTTATACGTGAGTTTGTGCTAACGATAATTCTATCTTATACTAAGATATATTAATATGCAAAAAAGAATTAATTTTGTTAGCATAAAAGGATAAAACAGATAGGTGTATTTGGTGGCCGAATGCTCGTTATATTGCAGGGGGACCATTGTTTTCTTCGTACAGTACTCGATGGAGATTGCATTTGCATTGCTTCGGAATTCTTCTTGCGGGGAGTTATAAGCCCACGTTTCACAATTCAAACCCTTAAACTCTTCACCCTGAAAACAAAAGGAAAGGAGAATACTCCAGTCATTTCCATATCCCTGACCGTGACTCTATATGAGTATCCAGCTAATATTTTGTAATTTGTAATAAAATGTTAAAAACTCACAAAAAAAACATAAGTGTATGAAATTTGACATCCTGTATCATGATTTTTTTAATAATTTAAAATATTTATATAAAATTATAAAATGTCATAAACAATATAGTAAATTTAATTATACTTTTTAATAATCAATACACCTAAATAATTATTATTTGAATGACTTTTATCCCAATTAATGAAACCAAATAAAAAAAATTAAAAAATATTAGATCTTATTCTGAATAGAGAAAGGCGTCCGAGAAAGCAAGTGGAATAAGAATATCCTTTTTTAGCTCTTTATAAATTTATCTAACATAATCATTTAAAATTTAGGTTATTTTTGACCAAACTGTCATTTATCTAAATTTTGTATGAAATAAAAACAGCTAGTTCATGGGATGTTGGGCTGGTAAGGGAAATCATAGTGGTGGCTTGGTGGGCTTGGGCCAGGATACCAAGTTGGAGTGATGGTAAAGGAAAATTCCATGGCTACCAGTGTGCAACAGTTTGAGGTGGAAAACATTGCCTTCTCTAATTTAAAATATCGGGTTTGTTTTATTTTATTTCATTTTGTAGTCACTTTTAGGTTTTGTTTGGGATTTTGGATGGAAAGAGAAGGAAAGGAATTCAAGGGAGAGGGAGGGGAAGGAAGGAAAGGAAGAGAAATAAAGAATATTCTCTTTCCTTATTTGAGAGTTAAAAACTCCTTAAATTGGTGGAACTTTAATTTTAAGAATAAGAAGGGTTTTGTGAAAAATTTTAAATCTTTCTCCTCATTTTTTTAGACTCACAAATAAAAGAAGGGATTAATAAATCCTTCTCTTTCTTTCCTTTCCCTCCTAAACAAGCCCTTAAAAAAAATAAAGGAACATTAATTATTTTATTCTGTTCTCACTTATATTTCTTTTTAAACGTGTCTCCTCTCAATTTAACCCACTTTTCTATTTTCACCAATCACCATTCACCACTTTAACTAGCCATTGGATTCAGGGCTGCCCTTCCATGGATTATTTGAGGTAAAATAACCACATAGCTCAACTTCATAATTCCTTGTTAAAGGTGCAATGGTGGCAGCTATTCTGAACTTGTACAATATAAGAAGAAACCCTCTAAAAACCATGCTTGTAGATAAAAAAAAAAATAGTGATTGGTTCCAAATATTGTTTATAAAATCTAAAGAACCATTTAAAAAAAAATAAAAAAAATTGAGCAACCGCGGCTGTGAATAAACCAGTACCAAGAAGGACATCATAACTCCATTTCGTATAAACCAGTTGTCTTTAGCATAGAAAGTTAATACTCTCATACAGATACAATTAATATTCCGGATACAGGGTACACAATTTAGGCAAACATTATTCGTGGTAAATACAAAGCCCACCACAACTGCTTCGTTTTTTATAATACAAAGCCAGCCACGGTGTAAACACATGACCCAAAAACCCCAAACGAGTAGGCCAAGCAGAGGCAGAGACACAACAATCAATTGAAGCTCCCCCAAGGAAACTTCTATTGGTTCAACTATGCAACTAAATATTACACGATTTTTAATTCTAAAATGATGAGGATGTTTCCTCTTATTCTAATGGTGGAAATAAATGAGTATCATTAAAGAAAATCTCACTTCTGGTTTTGTTCCACCTTCGCTCGAATCTTCTGCTCCAAAACAGATATTTCAGTTTCCAGGCTGAACATTCTATTCAAAGCATGCATGTTCTCAAGTGTCTCAGTTAGAGTTCGGCTGTCACTTCCATCACACCTCAAGTGTTGCATTGGACCATGAAGCAACCTGTTCACTATACCCCGGCTAAGATCATCCACAGCTCTCCGGGTCTTCTTTGAGATATCATCACCCATCTTACCTAAGCATTTCTCAAGCTCAGCAACCCTGATTCTCTCAGCATAAGCCCTTAATTTCTTAATAGTAGGAACAGTTTCCAGGGAGTCCCTCCAAGCTTCAAATTGTTTTGATTCTTCGGCAATGATTGCCTGTGCTTCCATTGCTTTTCTTAGCCGATCCTCTTTATTGGCAGCCACAACCTCTTTAAGGTCATCAACATTGTAAACTCGCACAGACTCAAGATTTGAGACACATGAACCCACATTCCGAGGAACAGAAATATCAATGAAAAAGCGATGGCCTCCAACATCTTGACTTGCAGGAGGAAGGTCCTTGACATGATCTTCCAAGAACAACGGGTTTTCCGACGCTGTACTGGTGAAAACTACATCTGCTTCACTGGCACAGATGAACATTTCTGAAAGGGGTTTGTAGATTATCTCAACATCCTTCAGTTCTTCACGTATTGCAGCAACTCTCTCCTCAGTCCTATTGACAACAACCATCTTTGTGCAACCTTTTGCCACCAAATGTTTGATCACAAGCTTTCCCATCTTGCCAGCACCGATAACCAACATCCTGGCATTATCATGCGAGGCTTCAGGTAGCTTCATAAAGGCCAATTCAACAGCAGCTGAGCTTACAGAAACGGCCCCAGCAGCAATATTAGTCTCAGTTCTAACCCTTTTCCCGACAGTAATTGCATGCTTGAATAGCCCACTAATGTTTCTCCCAAAGCCATTAACTCCTTGTCCAACTTTGACAACTTGCTTAACCTGAGCAAGGATTTGACCTTCTCCCAATACAAGAGAGTCAAGACCTGCTGATACTTCAAAAAGATGCTGTGTGGCATCTTTGTTGTAAAGTAAAAACCTGTGCTGGCAAAGCTCTGAAACAGGGATGGAACTTGTCTACAAAAAAGAACAAGGGTGTTAAATATTTAGTAATGCAATACAAATACCATCAGTGAAATACACTTGCCACTTACTTTTGACATCCATTCCATGACTTCTTTGACACCACGGTGCTGGGACAGAGCAACAACATATATCTCCATTCGGTTGCAGGTGCTCAGAACAGCAGCTTCTTCAATATGATTGAGACTACACAGCTCTGCGATAGCTCTAGGCCATTCTGCTTCCGGAATGGCAAGTTTTTCGCGCATTTCCACAGGTGCAGTGTGCACACTGAGCCCAATGACAACAATGCTGCTCCTTTCCTTTGTATACCCTGTTAAAGTTAATTGTATAAATCATTTAAAAGAATATAATTAACCAGTACAAATCAACCAATGAAAGGCATGCAATCCTGTCTTTCTTTTTTCTTTTGGATGGAATAACCCTCTGGACCTTGCCACAAGTCCTGAAAGCTATATAGGTTTGGAGCATAAAAGCCCAACCAGTTGAACGTTCAAAACCCATTCGATATTTTTTTAAACTACACAAACAGAAAGGACCAGTAAATGACAACAATGCAAAATAAATTTAAAATAGACAAGAGAAATATAACGAACAGAAACAGATCTCCTTGAGTGAAGTAAACAGATTCAAAATCACCAGTAACAAAAAAAAAAAAAAAAAGTAAAGAAAATATTAACGTGCATAAGAACTTCATCCTCAAAATACGAAGCGAATACCTTGAACACTAGTCAAATAATAATGCTATATTTCTCTGGTACATCATCGGGAGCTGCTAAGTTTTAAAATTTCAAGCATTGAATACTATTCAACATCCAGATCAACGGTAGAATCGTCAAACAAACGATAGAATTTCAGGGGTGAGAGACCGAAAGGGCAGTATGTGAAGGAATTCTGTGCAGTCATAAACTAATGAACATGCTTAGCATTACTCTAAATAGTAAATACAAGACCGGAACCATGAATGAAGAAAAGATAAGTTTAATGCGTGAGAGTTTTCAGCTTTCACCAGCAACATTTTGCTGAAGAAACACTACTCTCTTCCTAAGTGACTAGGCCTTCATTCTTTGTTTCACTAACTTAATCCAGATGTTTAGAGATTATAATAAATTAGGAGCAAATTCACTTTAATTCAAAAAAAAAAAAAAAAAAACTTCGATGCAATTATGGGAATAATAAAATTTTCCTTTCATACCCAATTAACCATGAAATAAAAATATTAACAGAAAATTGAGCAAAGAAGACAACTTACTATCAGCTGCAGAAGTTTTGAGCTGCTCAAGAGCGGAGAGGGTGCTAGCATTGCTTGTATCATCGGTCTTAATCAATACATCAGAAGCCTCAGCACCGCAGCGAATAACTCCTCTATGAATGAGGGTTCTTCTGTTTTTGCCAACAACTGATAAATGGGTAGCAGTGGATGATGCCCTTGAAGACGACGCTGAAGAAGAGGAAGAACACTTGAGCAACAAAGCCTCCAATTTGGAACCGGAGAAAGTGGTTGAAACAGCCATTGTGGCAGCGTCAGAACCCTAACCTTAGATTTGAGAATTCAATTGAAGCGGGAAGGAAACGGAAAACGTTTAGCGGGGAATTGTATTGAATATTAATGGGAGAATTCAAAGAGAGGGAGACAGAGGAGGGGCAGTGGCAAAATGAAGGGAAAATTGAAGTGTTGACCCTCCTCCTCTCACTTTGGTCTGGGCCTTGTGGCTTTGTATGAGTTTTAGAGATTGTGATTTCTTTCTCTGAGTTCTGATTGGCGAGTGGAGCGTTTTATCCACACACTCTCTCTCTCTCTCCCCTCTCTGATCTTATAAGGACCATACTCACCTGCAAAAAAAAGATTTTGGGTTTCACCCTTCCAAACTTGGGACGTTGGATGCATTTAATTTAGGGTCCTATTTTCTTTTTTCACGTAATAAAATTTTTATGGAGCAGCGGATTTTTTAATAAAGTTTAACCAGGAAGATTTTAAAATTATTTTTCTCAATCCAACATTCAATAATATATTAAAGATAGAGAAAAATGAAGCAGTTTTATTAATGGGTAATGTTTTTCTCCTTTTATATGATACAATTAATTTTTTTTACAGACACTTAAAAATAGACCTATCAATTCTTTTACTTTTTTTTTATTTAAAAATAGTGACATCCACAATTGATTGTCTCTATGACATGACCTAGAAATTTTCCTATAACATAATACTTGTTTTTCTCTTTATTAATATAACAAAATTTTACTAATCAGTTGTTAAAAATTGATTGCTCAACAAAAATTTTCTTACTTGAAAAGATAAATACATTTGCCTTTAATTTAAGGGGCTAATGTTTTCTACCAACATGTAATTTTATGATAAAAATGGTTTGTTTAAGTGTTACATATTTTTTCCGTTTAAGTAAAATTTTGTATTTAAGTATCTGTGAATGCAAAAAAAAATTCTTTGAAACAGTTAACTCCACAAAAATGTGAATATTATGGCTTAAACATGATTTTCTCTTCCATAAAAAATACATGTGATTTGTAAAAAGTAAATAAAAAATAACATGTAATATTATGTCGCGACTCGTGAAGAATGTTAGAGTGGGTGGATGGTACGAATAGAGAGAAAGTAAAATTTATTGAGAGATGTTATCAAAAAAAAAAAAAAAAAAAATTATTGAGAGAAAAAATTATCTATTATTTATAAAGAAATATTAAACTCTTAAATTAATTATTAATTTGTTTTGTATGGGAAGGCTGCACATAAAGTAAATTGTTATGATATCAAAAAAAAAAAAGTAAATTGTTATTGTTAAAAATCGGATATGCTGAAAATAAATAAATAAATAAATTAAATATAAACAATCTTTGGAAAAATCTTAGAGACAGTTATTGAGAAAAAATGATAAGGCGATAATAGGGTGGGTGTGAGGATATGTGATCAGGATTGCTCCCTGAGATTTCAGGATCTTTGTTTACCACAATTTCCATGAGAAATTAAAGTCCTGGATTGTAGCCAAACTTGCAAATGTTCAACATCGAGGTCTTATTGTTATCAATTTGATGCGGATAAAAACAAGACATTGCGTTTTACTCAATTAAATTACTCTTGAATGGATACAACATATATTGGGTTCATACATCTATGCTCTCTATTTTTCTTATTAACATTATCAATTTGAATATGCATGCATGATTAAGACTAAATTCTGAAACAAAAGAAAAGCGAGGCTAAATTCTGAAACAAGGGAGATAACTTCTAGGCTTGTGTAATGCGAGGAAGAAAATATCTCCACTACTCTAGTATTAGTACTAAAGACTGTATATTATTTATTAAAATTTTAAAAATAATATAATTGATTTTACTTATTCTATCCATCCATTTAGGGTTAATGCCAGTAAAATTTCACTTTTCTTATTTTTAGCAAAGTATTAGGTGATAATAATTCAGATTGACACAACACGAATGTGACAAAAATATAAATACACTTGAGAAGAGATCAAAATCTTGGAAATGAATACTACCCACTTATTTTGCGGGTTATAAACATAACACGACATACTAGGAACAACTCGCGAACCTCAAAAAGTGTTACTTTTTATGCGAGTTAACCACGACACAATACAAATTCTATGTCAATCTTAAAGCATATCGCTTGTTATGGAGGTTGATACATACGAAACAATACGAAATGACATGATATCAACAACTTGTAAACTTTTTATGTCAGATTTTACCAACATAAATACAATACAAATTTAAAAATGGATAAATCGGAACACATTTGTTTGTGTGTAATCCATGTCACGTTGAAATTGTCACCTCTACAAAAGAGTATAACAATAAAGGGTAATACTTCTCTTATGTTGCATAAGAGAAGCACTATCTCATGCTCAAATAATAGTTAGGATAAAGAAAAAAGTTGGAGGTGAGAGAAAAAAAATATTGTGAGACCCATTTGAAAAATGTGAGTGTAGGAGATAAAAAAAAAATTTATGTAACATAAGAAAAGCAATTCCCAACAATAAAATTACTGAAATGAAGAAATAAAAATGGCGTTAAATGACCTCCAATAAATATGTTTATTTTGATTTAATTGACCTCCGCTATATATATATATATATATATATATTCCGGTTTAAATACATAAAATAGCCATGACCAACTTTAATTTTGATTTGAAGCCAGCAAGAATGTTTGGTAAGAAGTACATAACAATATATTGCTTAGAGGGATCATCATCAATTGATCAAAATCTGGAACCAATTTCCTTTTATAGGACAAAAGAGAGCATAGAATAAGGATCATACATCAGAAAAGAAGATGCAACCGTAGAATGGCAGAGTCTCACTACCAAACCCAAGCAAAGTTGTTTCAGAAATATAAGTCCAACGCCTGCTGTAGGTTATCTATGCCTAACATCTGTAATATAGTACCGACAGTCTTGCCTTGATGCACACAATAATTTTCAACTTGCAATTTTTTTTCTCGTTCAATCTTTATGGTTCAAGCATTTACGTCGGATTTACACAAGCAGATGACATGCCTGAACAGATGTCTTGTTGAGGACCTGACTAATGCTCTGTGCTTCTCAAATTTGTTTCAAGCACAATCAACGAGTTGATTCGAAATTATGATTTCCATTGAGAAGTCTTTAACTTAAAATAACCTCCTTTCTATTTGTGTACGTACAATGGGGTGCGTCCCAAGATAATTGTTCACCTTTTAGCCTACTTCTCGGGCTCTTATTATTCTTCTCCATATGTTACTCATAGTATCCCAAAAAAATGTTGATTTTAGAGTCTGCACTGTGTAGCCAGCTACTTTCCAACCATACACGATCTGGAATAAATAACCTTTTAAGATAATATAAAATAAATAACAGCTGTTGAGCTTCTTCAAGTTAATATTGAGATCTTTACCTGGTTTATAATTATCACATTTGTCTTGTGCTAGAAAATAAAATAAAAAACCATGAAATGACGATAACTAGCTGCCAAATGAATAGAGACATCTGCCCATGATTTTATTCAATTCTGGAAGCATTATTAAGTGTCAAGCGTTAATGTTGCCCATTTTCAGATGCTTCGTGATACGAATATTAATACATAATTCAATAGTGGGAGATTTTAGAGACAAAATAAATTAACTGGTTTTGCAAAATTATTTTTGCATCTTGTAAGCGTACATATAGTTAAGCGCCATCGTGGAGCTAGAAAGTTTTGTGAAGGGGTGAAATTGTAAGTATAATATTTTTTATAAGTTATAATTATCAATATGATAAAAAATATATACTTTAGATTGTATTTATAATTAAAAATTTGTATGAACTTGAAGGGAACAATCACTGTTTATAAGATTAATAACAACATAAACAATATTTATAAATTCTTACAAACTTGCTTATTTATTCCTAGGAGTACAAAAATAGAGGAATGCATTCTTCGAAATATATAGACAAATTTATAAATAAAGAATTAGTAAATATAACTTGTTCCATAAAGATTTGTATAAATTTGACGAGGAGTGATTGTTATCCTAACCCCTCCCTCCGCCCTTGGTTATACATTAGATGTAGTCCTTTTCAATGAAATTAGCTGCAGTTTTGGCAATAATGTTCTTAAACACTGCAGTTTATTCAATTTAATCTCTTTATGGGGGTCACAATTCAAAAAGAAAGAGAGATAGACTTTAGTATCTTTTAGGTATGTGTCGACGTATATTGTGAAATCTTGAGACGAAACACTAGACCAAGCTGACTAAGTATTGGGTTGGAACGAGGCAGTTCTAAACTTTGGACTAGTTGTACTTTACACATAATCAGATTTTGAAGCACCTACTCCTAGTTTTTGTAATGGGCCATGGAAAACCCCAAAATCAAAATGAAAAAGAAACAGTGGAAAATGGGTCATGTGACTTTTCATCCCAATAAACAAAAAAACCAGCCCACACCAACTCTAATGATCATGATCCATCAAAATGACCGAAAGATAAATATCGATTCCACATTAGGGCTGGAATCGGACACATCAGTGAGACTTTAACATGAACAAGTTAATTTTATTTTTTAAATATAATATTTAAATTTAAATTATTTATTTAATATAAGCCAATTTTCTAATACTTTTTTTTTCTACATTGAACAATATTCATCGACTGCACTCTGTTTCTCTTACATTCTTTCTAATTCAATTTGCAAATTATCAAAGATTCGATGGCTCCTATTTCGTGTTCAAGGAAAGAGTTCAAACCCACTGATGATGAACTCATCCAGTTGTTTCTTTACAATAAGGTCAACGGAAACCATTGCCTAAAGATCTTACGATTCTTGAATATGACTTATATGGTGAAAAGAACCCTTGGGAGATTTGGGAAGCCTTCGGAGGTTCAAACTCTTACGGTGGAACGGGCCTTTACTTCTTCACCACCTTAAAGAAAACGTTCTCCACTGGCACATGCTCGGTTCGCACCATTGGGTGCGGTTTTTGGGAAGCGGAAGACAAGGGGAAAAAAGTTATGGCCAATGGCACGATGGAATGTATTGGGATAAGGAGACGTTTACGATTAGAGAAGAGTGGCACCAACCATGATGGTGTTTGGATCTTGCATGAATATAGAATTTATTCTTCGTTGTTAGACAATGCATCTGTAAGTACTCTACTTTGTTATTTAATCTTTAGGGTATAGGGTTTTCAAATTTTTCGTGTTCTCTTTTATGAAATCTTGATCTTGTTCGGTTTAACAAACATTAAATTGATTAACGTATCTATCATGCATGTAGGCGGACAACTATGTTCTCTGTAGATTTAGAAAGAAGATCTTCACAAAAAACTGGGTTTGAAGAGAACTAGACAAGAAGACTTCACCATGAAGCAACCGAGAAAGACTGTTGTTCTTTGACTTGAAGACATCACTAAGACCCAGTCGAGGAAGACCGTTGTTCTTGGACTTGAAGACACCACTAAGATCAGTGAGACTTTAACATTAACGGGTTAATTTTATTTTTTAAATATATTATTTAAATTTAAATTATTTATTTAATATAAGCCTATTTTATAAGACCTTTTTTTTCTAATTGAACAATATTCAACATTGTTCATCGACTGCACTCTGTTTCTCTTACATTCTTTCTAATTCTATTTGTAAATTATCAAAGATTCGATGACTCCTATTTCGTGTTCAAGAAAAGAGTTCAAACCCACCGATGATGAACTCATCCAGTTGTTTCTTTACAATAAGGTCAACGGGAAACCATTGCCTAAAAATGTTAAGATTCTTAAATATGACTTATATGGTGAAAAGAACTCTTGGGAGATTTGGGAAGCCTTTGGAGGTTCTAACGCTTACGGTGGAACTGGCCTTTACTTCTTCACCACCTTAAAGAAAACGTTCTCCACTGGCACACGCCCGGTTCGCACCATTGGGTGCAGTTCTTGGGAAGCGGAATACAAGGGGGAAAAAGTTATGGCCAATGGCTCGATGCAATGTATTGAGATAAGGAAACGTTTATGATTAGAGAAAAGTGGCACCAACCATGATGGTGCTTGGATCTTGCATGAATATAGAATTTATTCTTCGTTGTTAGACAATGCATCTGTAAGTACTCTACTTTGTTATTTAATCTTTAGGGTTTTCAAATTTTTCGTGTTCTCTTTTAAGAAATCTTGATCTTGTTCGGTTTTACAAACGTTAAATTGATTAACGTATCTATCATGCATGTAGGCCGACAACTATGTTCTCTGCAGATTTAGAAAGAATTTAATACATGATCTTCACAAAAAACTAGGTGTGAAGAGAACTAGACAAGAAGACTTCACCATGAAGCAACCGAGAAAGACCGTTGTTCTTTGACTTGAAGACATCACTAAGACCTAGCCGAGGAAAACCGTTGTTCTTGGACTTGAAGACACCACTGAGATCAGTGAGACTTTAACATCAACGGGTTAATTTTATTTTTTAAATATATTATTTAAATTTAAATTTAAATTATTTATTTAATATAAGCCTATTTTCTAAGACCTTTTTTTTTCTAATTGAACAATATTCAACATTGTTCATCGACTGCACTCTGTTTCTCTTACATTCTTTCTAATTCTATTTGCAAATTATCAAAAATTCGATGGCTCCTATTTCGTGTTCAAGGAAAGAGTTCAAACCCACCGATGATGAACTCATCCAGTTGTTTCTTTACAATAAGGTCAACGGGAAACCATTGCCTAAAGATGTTACGATTCTTGAATATGACTTATATGGTGAAAAGAACCCTTGGAAGATTTGGGAAGACTTCGAAGGTTCTAACTCTTGCGGTGGAACGGGCCTTTACTTCTTCACCACCTTAAAGAAAAAGTTCTTCACTGGCACACGCTCGGTTCGCACCATTGGGTGCGGGTCTTGGGAAGCAAAAGACAAGGGGAAAAAATGTATGGCCAATGGCACGATTCAATGTATTGGGATAAAGAGACGTTTACGATTAGAGAAGAGTGGCACCAACCATGATGGTGCTTGGATCTTGCATGAATATAGAATTTATTCTTCGTTGTTAGACAATGCATCTGTAAGTACTCTACTTTGTTATTCAATCTTTAGGGTTTAGGGTTTTCAAATTTTTCGTGTTCTCTTTTAAGAAATCTTGATCTTGTTCGGTTTTACAAACGTTAAATTGATTAACGTATCTATCATGCATGTAGGCCGACAACTATGTTCTCTGCAGATTTAGAAAGAATTTAATACATGATCTTCACAAAAAACTAGGTGTGAAGAGAAGTAGACAAGAAGACTTCACCATGAAGCAACCGAGAAAGACCGTTGTTCTTTGACTTGAAGACATCACTAAGACCTAGCCGAGGAAGACCGTTGTTCTTGGACTTGAAGACACCACTGAGATCAGTGAGACTTTAACATCAACGGGTTAATTTTCTTTTTTAAATATATTATTTAAATTTAAATTTAAATTATTTATTTAATATAAGCCTATTTTCTATGACCTTTTTTTTTCTAATTGAAAAATATTCAACATTGTTCATCGACTGCACTCTGTTTCTCTTACATTCTTTCTATTTCTATTTGCAAATTATCAAAGATTCGATGGCTCCTATTTCGTGTTCAAGGAAAGAGTTCAAACCCACCGAAGATGAACTCACCCAGTTGTTTCTTTAAATAAGGTCAACGGGAAACCATTGCCTAAAGATGTTACGATTCTTGAATATGACTTATATGGTGAAAAGAACCCTGGGAAGATTTGGGAAGACTTCGGAGGTTCTAACTCTTACGGTGGAACGGGCCTTTACTTCTTCACCACCTTAAAGAAAAAGTTCTTCACTGGCACATGCTCGGTTCGCACCATTGGGTGCGGGTCTTGGGAAGCGAAAGACAAGGGGAAAAAAGTTATGGCCAATGGCACGATTCAATGTATTGGGATAAGGAGACGTTTACGATTAGAGAAAAGTGGCACCAACTATTTTTCGTTTTAGACAATGCATCTGTAAGTACTCTACTTTGTTATTTTATCTTTAGGGTTTAGGGTTTTCAAATTTTTCGTGTTCTCTTTTAAGAAATCTTGATCTTGTTCGGTTTTAGAAACTTTAAATTATTTAACATATCTATCATGCATGTAGGCCGACAACTATGTTCTATGCAGATTTAGAAATAATTTAATACATGATCTTCACAAAAAACATGGTGTGAAAAGAACTAGACAAGAAGACTTCATTGTGAAGCTACCCAGGAAGACCGTTGTTCTTTGACTTGAAGACATCACTAAGAATCAACCGAGGAAGACTGTTGTTCTTGGACTTGAAGACATCACTAAGATCAGTGAGACTTTAACATGAACGAGTTAATTTTATTTTTTAAATATATTATTTAAATTTAAATTATTTTTTTAATTTAAGCCTATTTTCTAAGACCTTTTTTTTCTACATTGAACAATATTCAACATCGTTCATCGACTGCACTCTATTTCTCTTACATTCTTTCTAATTCTATTTGCAAATTATCAAAGATTCGATGGCTCCTATTTCGTGTTCAAGGAAAGAGTTCAAACCCACCGATGATGGACTCATCCAGTTGTTTCTTTACAATAAGGTCAACGGGGAAACCATTGCCTAAAGATGTTACGATTCTTGAATATGACTTATATGGTGAAAAGAACCCTTGAGAGATTTGGGAAGCCTTTGGAGGTTCTAACTCTTACGTTGGAACTGACCTTTACTTCTTCACCACCTTAAAGAACAAGTTTTCCACTGGCACACACTCGGCTCGCACCTTTGGGTGTGGTTTTTGGGAAGCGAAAAACAACGGAAAAAAAGTTTTGGCCAATGGCACGATGCAATGTATTGGGATAAGGAGACGTTTACGATTTGAGAAGAGTGACACCAACCATGATGGTGCTTGGATCTTGCATGAATATAGAATTGATTCTTCATGGTTAGACAATGCATCTGTAAGTACTCTACTTTGTCATTTAATCTTTAGGATTTAGGGTTTTCAAATTTTTCGTGTTCTCTTTTAAGAAATCTTGATCTTGTTCGGTTTTACAAACGTTAAATTGATTATCGTAATTATCATGCATGTAGGCCGACAACTATGTTCTATGCACATTTAAAAAGAATTTAATATATGATCTTCACAATAAATGGGGTGTGAAAAGAACTAGACAAGAAGACTTCGCTATAAAGTAACCGAGGAAGACCGTTGTTCTTGGACTTGAAGACAACACTAAGATCAGAGAGACTTTAACATGAACAAATTAATTTTATTTTTTAAATATATTATTTAAATTTAATTTATTTATATATTATAAGCCTATTTTCTAATTTTTTTTTTTGTATCTTTCCTATTTTCTAAGACTTAATCTCTGAAAGTTTGTGTAAAATTTACTTTACAATGTGTCTTTTAATAGACTAATAAACATATTCTTTAAAGAATTAATAGGAATAAATCTTTAAATAAATCAATACATGCATGATTAATGTATTATAATAAAATTCCAACACAGTAATAATAATAATAAAAGTCGGTTATACTTATTTTTTTTTTATTTTTTTTTATAATAAGTCGGTTATACTTATTATCATATTATACTTGGGATAGGATATTGTGACAACCAAATAATGTTACTACCAATGTTACTACCACATCTTAACCGTTGATTTCCGCCAACGGTTATTATTTTTCAAAACAAACTCATTAATTAATTATTAATTCACAATAAATGATAACCGTTGATTGACGGAAGTCAACGGTTAAGATGTGGTAGTAACATTATTTGTTTGTCACAATATCCTATCCCATTATACTTATCACTTCGTATTTGTTGTATAATGCCTATTTTATATGTATGGATGACTTTTGATTTTCCATCATAATAGTTGATTGAAATGTAATTACCTCCTCATTTATATTCTGTATCTGTTACATTAATGGAGTATTGATTTCCGTATTTGTATTTATAGTATTATATAAAAACGTTATTTGTATGAAAAATGTTATGATTATGAAAATCATAAATTTTCCTCTATTCTTCTTTATTTTCTCTTCTTTTCCAATATAGTTGTTGTTGTTGGAAAGGAAATTAAGGACGACGAAAAAGAGAAATATATAAAAAAAAATTATAGACACTTCAAGTTCAATATACCTATTTAGAGTATACTATAACAATAATTTGATTTTATACTAAACTTAAATAATTTCATGTACATCATTTCGCTCTTTAATTATCAACAATTATGTTATATTTAATTTGATTTTATATTATGTTATATTATTCATTTTTTTTCCTTTTGTTAAAAAAATAAAAAAATTGTTCCAATCATGAATGAGTTATCATCACCACCTTGGTGAGGACCCACCCGTCTTTTTCAATTTTAACTAATTTCGATAAATGCAGGATTAATTTGACTAAAAATGTACATAATTAGGGACTTTAGATGCATTTTCTATTATTTAAGCACTGACATAATTAAGTCTATATCCTTTTAAAGACTAAGTTGAATATTGATTTAAGAATATATAAATAAAAATTAAAAAGCATTGAGTTCACATGCATTTTAAATTTAAATAGAATTTAAAAGAAAATTTTAAAAAAATATTTAAAATTATAATAGATGTATCTACATAATTAATTTAGGTGGAATCTACAAATACATATTACACTAAAAAATTTCAAAATCACAAAAATATGCATAATTGATTCCAAAAAAAAATTAAATTGAAAAGAAGAAAGGTTAAAGATAACATATATTACTATAAAATTAAGTTACTATTGTGATGACATGTTATATTTTATTATATAAGAGGAACCGTTATTTAAGAAAAAAGAATGAATTTACTAAATACTAAATAGTAATGAATTCACGTGTGTTAAAGGTAAAAAAAAAAAATCTTATTCTCAATAATAAGAATTCAATTCCGTTATATAAAAGCAAATATAATTATTAATGCAATTCTTAAATTATCACATCTCATTTTAAGTTAGTCATCTTGCCATCTTTGATAATTTTTATGCATTACTTTCTTAAGTTAGAATTATTTTGTATTCGGATCAATATTTTTTTTAAAAATAAAGTAAAAAATAATATTTTAATTTTTTTTAAAGAATTTAACTTCGAAATAAAAACATCTTTTTGATTATTTTTTTCACTTTGGCTTTTCTTTTTAATTTGAAAGAACTGCATTCAATTGCACATATAAAATAAAACATTTTTTATTTTGAAAAGAAACAGCTTATTGGAAGTGGCTCTATCTTTTGAAACATGTCAGAATGCGTTTGGATATTGTTCATGTTATTTATATTAAGAATTAAATTAGAACTGAGATACCTCAATAAATAAGTACCAAAATATCATTTCAAATTTATTTATTTATAAAATAATGAAACCATGGTCACCTTAACCAGGGTAAGGCGAACCACAGAGGGTGGTAAACTGAAGCTTACTATTAAAGCGAGGCAACACAATCGATCACTTGCAATTTGCATAGCATATTCACAACGCGTCGGCATTGAACTGTTATTAAAGACTTTACCATCTTTTTTTTCTTTTCACCACTACTCACAAATGGCGGAAATGGCGAACAAGGAAACAACAGAGAATGGATCAAGTTTCAGTTTCACGAGCAGTGGTGGTGGCAACAACACCACCACCAACACTGGCCGTCGTGGGCTACCCACGATTCAAACTCACAAGAAGCCAACAGATTCGGACACGATGGAGGTTTGCCACGACGACAGCACCCCACCGGTGAGAGCTCAAACAATTCACGAGCTCCATTCTCTGCAGAAGAAAAGGTCAACCCCTAACACTCCCATCAGAACAACACAAGGTCCCTTTGCAAATATTTCTGAAGAGGAACGCCAGAGGCAGCAACTTCAATCCATCAGGTAATGTTTTTAATTACAATAATCATGCGATGCACACATGTGACATGATATAATTAATTTTTTGTCTTTTGATTTTTTAGCGCATCGTTGGCTTCGTTGACGAGGGAGACAGGGCCTAAGGTTGTGAAAGGAGACCCAGCCACAAAGGCTAAGGTGACACACGTTGATCACCACGCTCATCCGCATAATTATGTTTCAACAACGTTTGATGTTAGTGACAGTGCGCTTAAATTCACCCACGTTCTCTACAACCTCTCCCCTGCCGGTAATTAATTAATATAATATAATATCATATACATAATTCGATCTGATCTTTATATATATAATAATAATAATATTTAGTTAGTGGATATTAGATTAGAAGCACTTTTAAATTTCTCTTTCTATTGTTTTGGAATAAATGGGCATATTCTATGTCCACTTTATGAAAATATGAAT